AGTTCCTTTGTGCTCCAATATCAGAACCACTCCGGCAGCTTGGCTAATCCGGATCCCAGCTGCCTTCATGCCAGTGCCCCCTCCCAACCATACTTACTGCTGCTGCTACCTGGCAGAGCAGCTGCTGTGGCGGCATTCGGGCCTGGAACCCAGGCAAGCCGCAGCCCTGGCAGAGGTAGCTGGGAGGAGACTAGCAAAAGAGTGGAGGAAAATGAGGATTTCTGGTCTTTTGTCATGGGCATCAACAGGCCATTGCTTGGCTTGTCCAGTTTCCTAGACTGACCCTGCCCTGCTGGGTTGGGCAGCAGATGGTTGGGTGCTGTGCAGACGTGGTAGCAGACGCCAGTGGGCGTGCATGAAGGAGTCGGATGAAGCCCAAGAGCGTCTCAGAAGGTAACCTATGTCCCAAGGGGGGAGTCTCTTGCCAGGCACACACTGTGGGGAAGGGCGTGCATACTGTGAAGCACCGTGCAAGCCTGGGAGATTGATCTCTGCAGCGTGGCTAAATGCAGACAAGCCCTTAGGTGTTTCACAGAGGGAGATGCGTTCTGCCCATCAAGCCCTTGTTGGCTATAAATAGCGCACAGACTAAAATGGCAGCAATCCCTTGGCCCCAAGGCTGAGGGCTCTGTCATCCCAGAGTGACCCTGGGGAAATGGCCTTTTTAATGGAAACCTGGTTTAGAATGGGCTTATTGGCTCCCAAGGGCTGTTTCTAAGGGTCTGTCTACACTACCCCTCGTTCGAACTAGGGTGGTTAATGTGGGCAACTGAAGTTGCAAATGAAGCCCAGGATTTGAATTTCCCGGCTTCATTTGCATCTTGCCGGGCGGCGCCATTTTTAAATCCCCGCTAGTTCGGACTCCGTGCCCGCGGCTCCACGCGGCACAGACTAGGTAGTTCGGATTAGGCTTCCTATTCCGAACTACCGTTACTCCTCGCGGAACAGGCTTCATTTGCAGCTCCGGTTGCCTACATTAACCTCCCTAGTCCGAACTAGCGGGGTAGTGTAGACAGACCCTAAGTGATTTGAGAGAGAACCAGATTCCTCACACTGTGACACTGGGAATCCAGGCACTGGCATTGCTGGTCACAGACAGATCCCTTGGAAATGCAGCTGTAATGACAACACTCTTGGCTTCCCTTGGGCTCCCATGCCCCCCCGCCCCGCCCACCGGCCATAGCTTGGTCCCAGTGAGGTGAGGATCTCAGTGCCAGCACTGTAGGGCACAGACATGTCTCAGTCGAATACACACCCAGTGCCACTGCCCTAGCCCAGCCCACCAGCTTGCAGCCTGGCCGGCGGTGCGCCAGCCGGGATGGACACAGGGGAGTGCAGAGCCAAATGGGGCTCATCTCGGCTCTACGCTGCCTGTTTGAACCGTGAATGGTGCCCCGTGCGTGTGCGCCCGGGACCAGCCAGTGTGCCTTTGTTTCTGTGCACTCTGTATTCCAGGAGCCCCAGAATTCCCCTGTGGGTGCCCTGCCTTGGAGTCTCACTGTGTATTTTAGCATAGATAAGGCCCGGTATTTACCCAGCCTTAGGAAAGGAGGGAGAAAAATCCCTCCTTAAAGAATCTTCCCCTCTCCTCTCCTCTTCCAGCCCCTTGCAAATGAAGCCCATTCTCTCCAGCGCCACCCCGGAGATGACCTTTTTACAGGGACTTTTTTCTGAGATTGTTTGCTGAGTTGGCACCCTGCTTACTGGCTCCCAGTGGCCTTTTCAGACAGGCTGCCACAGGGACACAGGCATCTTCAAAAGCCTTTGAACCGAATTCCGGGGGGGGCTTTACAAGCTCCCATTGAAAAATTGTTACTTTGAAGTGATGTTGCATTTTCAACCCTTTGAAGCGAAACAATTAAGAGGAGGCCCAGCCGCTGGAAAGGCAAAACGCTGGGTGTCACAAGCCTTCTCTTTGTGAGCATGACCCCCCATCCCTCTCCTGTCTCACCAGCCCCGTCCCACGGGGGCAGGGGAGACCAGGGACTTCGGTGCGGGCGGGAGTTCTGTGACGTTCCTGTGGCTGACAGCTCCCAGGGCTGCCCATGGCTGCTAGACAGAGGAAACTCTTCCCTACTCCCAGTGAAGCCCAGCTGAGGCAGTGCGGTACCTCTGAGAAGAAAACCACCGAAAGGGGGGATGGTATTTATCAGAGCTGCATGTGCATTTCCAAAGACAGTGGGGGGTGCTAGGAGAAGGCAAACCAGGGGGGTTGCCACAGTCCCACCGCTGGAGCTGGATGGCAGTTTTGGGCATTGAGCACGTTTGGAAATGTTCATCCCCAATGCCATTTTTGTGGGTTTTCATGTCAGCGAGACAGTCAGACTCCAATTCAGCTTGTTTTTTGGGGGGGCGGCTTTGAGTTCAGGCACCTGGCTGAAGAAAACAGGGATTCCCTCAGGTATCCCCAGTCCCGTATGATCACAGCTGCAGGCTCCAGGCTGTGCCTTGGCGCTCAGCATTGTTCTTGATGGTTGATAGAACATAAGAGCGGCCGCCCTGGGTCAGACCAATGGTCCGTCCAGCCCAGCATGGCCACAGCTGGGTCCTCGGAGGGAGTGAACAGACCAGGGGAATTCTTGAATGGCCCAGCCCCAGCTTCTGGCAGAGGCGTAGGAAACCCAGAGCATGCGGTTGTGTCCTGCCCTGCCTGGCTAATCACTGGACCTACCCTCCAGGAACAGATGTAATTCTCTTTGAGCCCGTTATAGGTCTGGCCTGCACAACGCCCCCTGCATGGAGTTCCACAGGCTGACTGTGCAGTGCATGAAGGAACAACACTGCCTCTGGGTTGTTTGAAACCTGCTGCCTCTTGAGGTTGCTGGCCCCCGGGTTACGTGACAGCACTTAGCCAAGGTGCAAGGCCCCGTTGTACAGGGCTCTACACAGACACAGAGCCCAGAGGGAGCTTATACCTAGACAGCAGGTGGGCAGAGAAAGGAGGGTTTCTCCAGGCTGCAGCTGTGAGCCCAGGAGAATTGCTTGTTCGGGGTCACAGTCTGTTTCCGAGTGGAAGCAGAGGAGTGAATGTGTAACAGTCAGTAATTAACCACTGGAACCACTGGCCAAGGTGCTGGTGGAGTCTCCCTCACTGGTAGTTAAACCAAGCCCAGAGGTTTGTCTACAGCTCTGCTGTGGGCACGTCAGCTTAGCCCTAGAGGATCACAGTGGTCCCTTGTGGCCTGGGAATCTGGGACCCATCCGCCCCTTGTCAACCAGGCCAAACAAACTGAAAAGCCGCTGCCTATGTTTGCCGATTTTAAAGCCAGCTGGGACCACTGTGATCGTCTAGCTGGAACCAGCCGGAGACCCTCCCTGCTCTGAGTGGAGCAGCGTGTGGTTCCCTGCCGGAGCCAAGCAGCTGGAGTGAAAGCTCCGTGGAGGGCAGAGGGTGTTGGGAACCTGCCATAGGCTGTGCCCCAGAATCTCCCTGCTTTTTGGTCAGGGTCTGTCGTCACATTTTGTTTCCTTTCTGGGCTGACGGTTTAGAAAAGAGCCCTTCTGGGATGCTGGAAAAGGCGTTTGCAGGCTTTCCCTTCGCCCCACCCAGCATGCTGGGTCCTGGTGGCGGGCAGGTTCACATGTAGCAGCTGTGTCCAGCGTGACTCTCGCTTGCTGAGCAGCCCTGCTTCTTTTCCGACTGGAGCCTTCTCCAGCACCTCCCGTGGGAGGATCTGCCTGGATTTCAGACGCTCATTTGTGAAGCCTCGGAATAGCCCTGCGGAATGGGGAGGGCAGGGACTCAGCCGCGTTTGACAGCGGGGGAACCTGAGAGCCAAAGGAAGAAGTGGCTTGCCCAAGGTCAGCTGTATCAGAGGTAAACCAGGCACCAGGGCCCTTGGGTGCCCCTTTGTTTGGAGCACATGGCCCCTTCCTCTGGTCTGAGCGCAGTGCGCAGTGCGCAGCCTCTTGGCAGAGTAAATGCAGATCCGTGCACAGGCACTCGGCAATGTGTAGCAGTGCCCTGGCTGGAGCAGGGCCTGAGCCCGGGGGAGGGAGGGAAGGAGGCTGTTTTGCTCAGTGGCCCTTAACCTTTCCAGGCAGGATGTCTCAGTGCTGGGGGGCAGGCCGCTGAGAGCTCTGCCTGCCCTGGCCAGGGCTAACCAGCCTGAAGGAAGGGCTACCTCTGGCTCGGCTGCAGGGTAATTCCATTGCACTTCTGTGGGCCTCTGGGACGTTCCTGGCCACAGGGGACCTGGAAGAGGCAGGAGGAGGATTCCTCCTGTGGTCAAGACCTGCACAGGCCCTTTTGCAGCTTCTGGCGTAGGGTGTGCTGGGCTCAGCAGTCAGGAATCCCGCACTGATTGCCAGGTGATCCCCACAGCAGCACCAGCTGGCACGGTCAGCGCTGGTGTTAAACCCTTCAGTAGAGGCATTTTCCTTTTCAAAATGTTATACTGTAACAAGCCCAGTCCAGGGGCACTCTCTGTGCCCACCGTGCTGTCTTGGTTAGCACAGGGCCCTGCAGAGAAGGTCCGTCGCCCTGCACGGGAGGGGGAGCTCTCCGCTGGCCCCTTTCCCCAGGCTAGTTGTAAGCTAGCACTGGCCACAGGGGTGTTGGCGTCAGCTAGCAATCGGATCATAAGCCTGGGGACGTACGTGACTTTCTCCCCTGCTCTGAAGCCTGCCACCTGCAGCTCCCCTCGCCAGTTAGACTAGCTCTGTCCCGGTTGTACCTGCCTGTGCAAAAAAGCCACTAGGGCCTGATGTCTCAAGTGGCTAGTCCATGGGGTGGTGACGTTGCTGCTGCTGCGAGCAGCGCTAGGTGCATCCATCCGCCCGAACAGACCTGCCCTTAGGCCAAGCTTCGGAGCTGCGCCGCCCTCGCCACAGGCACTCGGAAAGGCTTGCCGTCACCTTGGCCGCCTGCCCATGCGCCCGGGTCCTGGGGTGGCTGATGAATCTAGAGCAGAGGGCACATGGGGTGGGGTATGCACCAGGCCAGGTCATCTCAGCTGCCACTCACCACTCAGGGGCTGTGTTCTCTCCTGTCTCCACAGGTTGCCTGTCAAAATCTGAAGAGAAACAAGAGACAAACCCAGCATCTGACACCTCAGAACCCTGCTCCCTGCCACCGATTTACAGCCCAGCCTGCCAGTGGCTGCAGGTGGCAGCCCTGTCCCGCCTGGGGTGCTGGGCAACGCAGACCTGTCATGCTTCTACTGTTGCACCCAGTGCGGCAAAGTGTTCTGGGAGGGCTCGCACTTGGGGCGCGTGCTCGCTCAGTTCAAGGAGGCTTTGTGCACCGCAGGGGGAAGCCAAAGCTTCTACGAGCTGAGCTAATGGGGAGGATTCTGGAGCAGGGCTGCAGATACCGCCTGGCTCTTGATTCCCCGATGCTGCTGCGGCTTGCACAAGGGACAGGCCGGGACTGAGGCTCAGGCCTGGGAGTTGGGCTCCTTGGGGGGCCTGTGGGCTGAGGCCTGGGCAAAGAGCTGTAAGGGGCCATGCTGCCCACTGGCTTGACGTTGACTGGCCTCCACGGCACTCATTAAAGGAGAGATTCTGGGACCCATCCGTGTGGGATGGCTGCTCATTGGCCACCCGCCCGCCGCGCGGGCCTTTGCTGTTCCGTGGCCGGGTACCCGCCGCGCGGGCCTTTGCTGTTCCGTGGCCGGGTACCCGCCGCGCGGGCCTTTGCTGTTCCGTGGCCGGGTACCCGCCGCGCGGGCCTTTGCTGTTCCGTGGCCGGGTACCCGCCGCGCGGGCCTTTGCTGTTCCGTGGCCAGGTACCCACCACGCGGGCCTTTGCTGTTCCGTGGCCGGGTACCCGCCGCGCGGGCCTTTGCTGTTCCGTTGCCACAGGAACAGGGTCAGTGACGAGTAACGACCCACCAGTTCTCACCCTGATGAAACGTTCACCCCTGACTAGGCTAGGAAACGACCCGTGGCCCCGCTCCGCCCAGCTCACACCCAGAGCCAGCTGTGGCCACACTGCCTGGCCTGGCTAAAACGGGGCTCTGGAGGAGACAGGTAAAGGCAGGGCTGGCAGCCACCAAGCCTCAGTCACATTCCACCCCCGGCCCTGCCCTGAGCTTCCCCTCCCCTGAGCTCGCCCTCCTCCAGCCCTGCCCTGAGCACTCCCGGGGGAGGAGGGGGGAGTGCAATGACAGTACCTGCAAGAAATGTCAGATACTGCACCCCCCCCCAACACAGCACTGCTGGCCTTGTGCTGCCCACACCCACAGCTGGCTAGAAAAGCTCCATCCTGGTTTATGGAAGGAGCAATGGCAGGGAACAGGCCTCAGGGCCTCTTGGCTTCCCCGGTGGAATTCCTGCTCAGGCAGCTCTCAGACGTGTCCTCCAGTTGCTCCTCCCCGTGCTAACAGCGCGGCCTTGGACTGCCACAGTGCTGAGTTGCTAGGCAACAGCAGCCAGCCGGCTCCCTGGATGACCTGCCCTGCCTTGCTTAGCCGCTGGCCCTTGTGCAAAGCTCCTGGCTCCCCTGGCTTGTCCGGGGCCTCAGCAGCTTGTGGTGATTCCCAGCCCCCATGTGGGGACAACACTGCCCCTGTCCCTGAGCAGCCCTGCCCAGCATGGCACTTGAAGGGCTGATGACGCTGCATTGTGGCTTGGTGCCCATTGGTGATGAAGGAAACAGCCAGTTTCTCTTTGAGCTCCGGGGCAAATCCGAGCTGCCAGGTCCATAGTAACTCACAGCAGCAAGTGTCCCAAACTAGCAGCCCCTGTGCAGGGCGGGGGGTGGCAGCCCTGGGGGTCCCTGTGGCCAGGGCACATGGCTGCTCTCTCAGAAATGCCCTCGGGCGTCAGTGTTGCTGTCCACCAGGGTGTCAGTGCTTCTGTGCACGGGACTTGACCAGGAGGGCGAGTGTGTTGTCCCAGCTCAGACCGGGTGCTGGGCCTCAGAGGAGTTCAACCTGGGGGCTGCCCTCCTGGGAACAGAGATTGTCTCAGATACGGCAAGAGAGGCAGGTTTAGGATGCTCGTCCCAGGTTTGAGGGACCCAACTGCACGCAGGGAGTTACAAGGGAGGCACAAGAGCTGGGCAGACGTGCTCACCAGAGCGACGTGTCTTCTTTCCAGTGTCTGCACTTGCCAGTGGCCCAGCCACCGTGGCGCCCTTTCCACAGGCCCATTACACCGGAGTCAGTGCAGAGCCAGCGTGCTGGGAATGAGCATGTGGCGCCTGCACATGCCGAGCGTGAGTGTGTGCGAGCCTGGGATGGAGAGCGAGCGCGCTGCAAGCACTAGAACTGTGCACGAGTACCAGGCTACTGCGTGTGAGTACACGCACACGTGGCCGATGTGCACACTGAGCACAGGTGTGAAGAGCTCAAGGGTAGCGATATTTGCTGCGAGTGTCCATTTTTCTGTTGGGTAAGTCACTCAGGAATGTGAAAACGCGCGCGCACACACACACACACTCTCTCTCTCTCTCTCTCTCTCTCTCTCTCAGTGGTGCCTGCCCTACTGTGAGGGCTGCTGCTTACCAAAAGGAAATGCAAGTTCTCGATTTCACCCGCCCGAGCTCCAACCAGCCATTGGGGGTGGGAGAGGTGTTGTGGTCTGACAGGGGGCCAAGACTTTCTGACCCTAAATCTGTGAGTGAGTAAGAGTTTTGTCAGGTCATAGGGTTTCAGACATAATACAGCAAGTCCCAGCTGCCTACAGTCTAATGGACAAGCTGAGAATGCTGTTCAACTCGTACAAAAAGCACTAGGGTTACTGCATGACGGACCCGCTCAGCCTGGGGGTGCAAGCCTGGGAGGCCCGCCGCTCCCCCCCACACCCGGCCAAGCTTTATTCAACAGCAAGCTTAGAAACAGTAGCTGAGTGAGGGTTTGTCCGCAGGGTGCAGGGAATGAGCCGCTATTAGTCACCTTTGGATCCAACGAAGAACCACGGTGGAGGGGCATGCAAAGTGCCTCATATGAAGCTGAAGGATGGAATATGGTCCCTAATGGTAGCAACTGGCCTAGCGAGCCACTGTAAGAACACAGGTAGCACCATGGGGTTCTGCTGTCCTGGCTAACACTGGAAATGTCTGAGTGAAATCAGAGCCATCAACCTGTCGCCTGCCAGGTCGACTCAGCTGAGAGAAGAAATGCAGCAGCAGACAATGCAAAGCCCAGCAACCCCCGTAACAAGAACAGCTCCAGTAGTGCAGTCAGTGCAGATGGGGCTGGTCACTGGGTGACACAGCCTGTGGCAGGACTCCCCACACACTGCTGAGCTGCCTCTGCGCGCTGCAGCCATGCAGCTCGTTGTGACTAGTGGCTGTGGTGTAACTGTGGCTGCAAGAGCAGGCCGAGACTCGCCGGGGTGGGAGCGGATGGGGGCTGAGTTACTCTGACAGGGACTACAGGGAAGAAGCTCTGCCTAGCTGTTGGTCAGCTACTAGCAATGCTTTAGTGTTAAGCCGAGTGGCTTACGTGACTGTACGACACCCATTCCAGCGTTTCCCACAGGCTGGGCTGACGTGCATGCCTGGAACCGCACACAGCAGGACTGAAGGGGGGGGTCAGCTTTTAGCCCTTTGGAAAACACTGGCAAAGACACCTGGCACTCTGCACAGCCCTAAGCCGGCTGTAGCACCCTGTGTGGGGTTGTTTCTAGTGCACATGGGCTAAATCAGCTCACACCCATCGGACCCTGCATGGGGCTGCCAAGAAATAGCCCCAAGGTGCTGCAGAGACCTGGAGCAAACATCCCATGCTGCACCCAGGCTGATGGTCATTGTGATGCTGTAAAAGCCGCTCCTTGGCCAGGGGAGGGAGCAGAACAGGGCAAGGGTGGAGCTGGGGCAGGAAGAGGCAGGGGGGGGAGAGGCCTTGGGGGAAGAGGAGGGGCCTGGGGCGGGGCAGGGGGAGGG